CATGAGATCAGGGCCCTTGCTGCGTCATGGGCCCTCCTCAATGGGTCCCCCTTTCAGGAGGTCATGTCCGCAGCTTTCTGGCGCGGACAGACTACCTTCACGGATTTTTATCTCCGGTCCTTGGCCTCTCATTCTGATGGATTGTATTCCCTTGGACCGGTGGTGGTTGCACAGTCTGTGGCTGTTCCTCCACAGTAATTCAGTGATTTTAAATAGTATGCTATCAGGCACCACGGTGGTACACCTGCTCGTTTCACGGGGAGGTTTTCCATTTTTTAATTACTTTCGGGGCTTTATTAGGGGGGTTCCTTGAACCTTTTCCCTACCTTGAGCATGTCTCGAGTTTGTTCCGTCAGCCTGGTCTGCCTGGATTCGAAGCCTCCACTACGGTAAGACGAATTCGCATACTAAAGTTATGGTAATTATTACTGAAATGAAATTGAGGTTTTTGAAGTAAAAACAATTTTCATGATGTAATACTTACCATAACTTTATGGAGTCCCACCCTATATTCCTCCCCTTGCCTACTCATCCCGGCTGCCTTTAGGCTCCATAAAAGGGGGTTTGAGGAAGGGAGATCACTCCGTGGCTCTGTCATCGAGATATGGGTTACGTCACGGTAGGGAGGTAGGGATATTTGAATCTTTTGTTTTTGGGCTACAAAGATGGGTGTAGGTATTGTATATGCATACTAAAATTATGGTAAGTATTACATCTTGGTTTTACTTCAAAAACCTCAAGTTAAGAACTAAAAGAGAATATATAAAAACTGTATAGTGTTAAAAACATCGATCTATGGCAATTAAAAAAGAATAAGTTCGTGACGTCATCAATAACAATGTACAGTGTTTACTACAATAACTTCCAACTTACACAATACCGACGTATAACGTCTTTAATAAAAACATTTGACAGAAACAGCGTTCGTTTGAATGTTTTGATAGTTCTTAACATACAACAGCGTACCACGGCACCAATTAAAACGTTCAGCGTGTTTTATTATAATTTATGGCGTAAACAATAATGATGTATGACGTCTTTAATAAAACCAGCAATGAAAACGACGTTGGGTTAATTTTTGATAATATGTCAAATACAACGGCGTATAACAATAATATTGTATGACGTCATTAGGATAATTACGTTTGGTAAAATTGACGTTTGCTAATAATCGTATTCTTATCATATCTTAAATTTGACACAAAATTTACGACTTCGACGCCATCAATTTTCGTTAGGAATTAACTTAAAATATTTTTTCTTCCGTGACGATTTTGCTACAGCTATAGACGTAAAATGTTAAGGTTTTCATGAAATAAAATGGAATGTAGGTTTCACAATCACTCAAATCAAGAAATCCAATCGAGAGCAGTAGACTATACTGTGTCTTTCCTCGCAACATCTACAATACTACAATGGAACATTGTGTCTCTGTTAACAAGCCCTTTGATTAGGGTATAGTCATCCTTACTTTCATCCCTATGATAACTCATATTTGAAAACCCCAAATAGGAATATATTGAACCTAAACTTTAGTGATGGTGAAACTGATGCATACCAAATTTCACTTAGTCGGCAAAGTCTTTAGGCTGACTACTTCATAAAGGTATACAAAGAAATTACACATCATCTGGAAGTTCATTTATTAACCTAGGTCATGTAGAGCTAAATTTCTATTTTGACAGCTTCGAAGACAGGTATCGATCTTAAGCAGTATTGTTTTTTTTATAAAATTCAAATTATTAGAGACTGAAAAGACGTTTTCGATAGAGTTATTAAAAAACATCAGCCCATATTTAGAATGAGACTTTCCCTTTTCATGAATTCCCGACGTTAACTGTCTATAAATTAATTTGTGATGTATCGCTCGTCGCCTACACACTTGATTGATAAGTATTTTCCCAAGTTATGTATATTTCAAATAAAGAGTGATACATTTTATACTTTTAACATTGTGTGTTACTTCCCATAAATATATTTGTCTTTTCCCTGAAAAAGGAAGATAAAAATGTATCTTTGTCAATTTTATGAGAAAAGCATTATTTATCCCGATGGTGAAGTAACTGTCTCATCTGTCAATCTTATTCTTATAAGGGATAACTCCGTGCGAAAGCTACATCTTTATGTAAATTTCTCCCTTGTTAATGACGATTTTGTATACGAAGATTAACTCTAGAATAGATAAGTTGAAACGAAATTTTGAATTCATGAGAATATATTATTATTGATCAATATTTGCCATGGGGTGATTACTCAAGACGAATTCAAAATATTAAAACTGTTATTGAAATTTAACTTGTCTATGTTCTCTATGAAATGTTATCTACTAGACTCTCATAAAACACGCAATTTGTTTTCATATTGTATACAGAAGATCTTGTCTTAAATGTCTGGTATCGGGTTAAGTATTCATACAAAATTACTTTATAAACATGATTCAGCTTTCCCTACTTAATGTTAAACATAACGGCAGGAAACATACATCCTATCCTTTCACCCTTTCATAGACGTTTGTAAAATACAAAGTAAAGCGTTCACATGATGAAGGGGGAAAAAATAAGGAGGAACTGGTAACTGAGTCCACAGATAATTGAAATACCCGGTAAGATATTATGACTGTTTAATGAAGTCGATGTTCTTTTTCTTGTGCAGTTCAGTCCTCTGGAACTTGTGCACATGCACAGTGTATGTGTGACAGTCAGTTTGCCATGTGCGTAGGGGCTGCGACTCGGGCGAATCTTCAAAGAAATATTGGTGCCACACGAACTGCAACAGGAACAGCAACAGGAATGGGACCAGCAACAAGAACAGCAACAGGAATGGGACCAGCAACAGGAATGGGACCAGCAACAGGGTTGGGACCAGCAACAAGAACAGGAATGGGACCAGCAACAGGAATGGGACCAGCAACACGAATGGGACCAGCAACACGAATGGGACCAGCAACAGGAACAGCAACAGGAATGGGACCAGCAACAGGAACAGCAACAGGAATATTAACAAGAATATTACCAAGATTATTACCAGGAATAGGAACAGTAACAGGAATATTACCAGGAATAGGACCAGCAACAGGAATGGGACCAGGAATAGGACCAGCAACAGGAATGGGACCAGGAATAGGACCAGCAACAGGAACAGAAGCAATACAGTTTCGTCCGACGAACCCCATAACAAATACAAATACCAGGATAATTGGCATGACGCCTTTTCAACCTCAAAGACGAAACTTTCCACACCATTTTTTCCCCCGTTCTATGTAATGTAGTGTGTGATGACTTTAAAGAGATACCTTACCATCCATAAAGGTATATTCTCTTGTTCGTGTTCAGGACTAAATATACAAAAAAGTTCTGGTTGTCCTTTTCGTTTTTGTCGTGAAAAATGAATAATACATTATGTCTAGAAAACAATATTATGATGTGAGAATAAATGGTAATCAAATTATATTATTTTGTAGTTAACATCAATATGGTAATATTTTTGTTAAATAACAATATATTCAGTAAACAATTGGAAACATTGTAAATAAAACATGTTTTATAGACTTTGCATTTAGTTGTTTTTAATAATAACATACGTTAAAAAGGAATATTGGCATGTTTGTTTTTGTCAACTCAAAACTTTTGCTACCATGTTGTTGTTTGTCTATCCATACATTTTACTGTATGTTGACATGTTGTTGTTTGTCTATCCATACATTTTACTGTGTGTTGACCTATTGTTGTTTGTCTATCCATACATTTTACTGTATGTTGACATGTTGTTGTTTGTCTATCCATACATTTTACTGTATGTTGACATGTTGTTGTTTGTCTATCCATACATTTTACTGTATGTTGACATGTTGTTGTTTGTCTATCCATACATTTTACTGTATGTTGACATGTTGTTGTTTGTCTATCCATACATTTTACTGTATGTTGACATGTTGTTGTTTGTCTATCCATACATTTTACTGTATGTTGACATGTTGTTGTTTGTCTATCCATACATTTTACTGTATGTTGACATGTTGTTGTTTGTCTATCCATACATTTTACTGTATGTTGACATGTTGTTGTTTGTCTATCCATACATTTTACTGTATGTTGACATGTTGTTGTTTGTCTATCCATACATTTTACTGTATGTTGACATGTTGTTGTTTGTCTATCCATACATTTTACTGTATGTTGACATGTTGTTGTTTGTCTATCCATACATTTTACTGTATGTTGACATGTTGTTGTTTGTCTATCCATACATTTTACTGTATGTTGACATGTTGTTGTTTGTCTATCCATACATTTTACTGTATGTTGACATGTTGTTGTTTGTCTATCCATACATTTTACTGTATGTTGACATGTTGTTGTTTGTCTATCCATACATTTTACTGTATGTTGACATGTTGTTGTTTGTCTATCCATACATTTTACTGTATGTTGACATGTTGTTGTTTGTCTATCCATACATTTTACTGTATGTTGACATGTTGTTGTTTGTCTATCCATACATTTTACTGTATGTTGACATGTTGTTGTTTGTCTATCCATACATTTTACTGTATGTTGACATGTTGTTGTTTGTCTATCCATACATTTTACTGTATGTTGACATGTTGTTGTTTGTCTATCCATACATTTTACTGTATGTTGACATGTTGTTGTTTGTCTATCCATACATTTTACTGTATGTTGACATGTTGTTGTTTGTCTATCCATACATTTTACTGTATGTTGACATGTTGTTGTTTGTCTATCCATACATTTTACTGTATGTTGACATGTTGTTGTTTGTCTATCCATACATTTTACTGTATGTTGACATGTTGTTGTTTGTCTATCCATACATTTTACTGTATGTTGACATGTTGTTGTTTGTCTATCCATACATTTTACTGTATGTTGACATGTTGTTGTTTGTCTATCCATACATTTTACTGTATGTTGACATGTTGTTGTTTGTCTATCCATACATTTTACTGTATGTTGACATGTTGTTGTTTGTCTATCCATACATTTTACTGTATGTTGACATGTTGTTGTTTGTCTATCCATACATTTTACTGTATGTTGACATGTTGTTGTTTGTCTATCCATACATTTTACTGTATGTTGACATGTTGTTGTTTGTCTATCCATACATTTTACTGTATGTTGACATGTTGTTGTTTGTCTATCCATACATTTTACTGTATGTTGACATGTTGTTGTTTGTCTATCCATACATTTTACTGTATGTTGACATGTTGTTGTTTGTCTATCCATACATTTTACTGTATGTTGACATGTTGTTGTTTGTCTATCCATACATTTTACTGTATGTTGACATGTTGTTGTTTGTCTATCCATACATTTTACTGTATGTTGACATGTTGTTTGTTTATCCATAAATTTTAATAAATGTTGACATGCTGTTGTTTGTCTATCCATTCATTTTACAGTATGTTGACATGTTGTTGTTTGTCTATCCATACATTTTACTGTATGTTGACATGTTGTTGTTTGTCTATCCATACATTTTACTGTATGTTGACATGTTGTTGTTTGTCTATCCATACATTTTACTGTATGTTGACATGTTGTTGTTTGTCTATCCATACATTTTACTGTATGTTGACATGTTGTTGTTTGTCTATCCATACATTTTACTGTATGTTGACATGTTGTTGTTTGTCTATCCATACATTTTACTGTATGTTGACATGTTGTTGTTTGTCTATCCATACATTTTACTGTATGTTGACATGTTGTTGTTTGTCTATCCATACATTTTACTGTATGTTGACATGTTGTTGTTTGTCTATCCATACATTTTACTGTATGTTGACATGTTGTTGTTTGTCTATCCATACATTTTACTGTATGTTGACATGTTGTTGTTTGTCTATCCATACATTTTACTGTATGTTGACATGTTGTTGTTTGTCTATCCATACATTTTACTGTATGTTGACATGTTGTTGTTTGTCTATCCATACATTTTACTGTATGTTGACATGTTGTTGTTTGTCTATCCATACATTTTACTGTATGTTGACATGTTGTTGTTTGTCTATCCATACATTTTACTGTATGTTGACATGTTGTTGTTTGTCTATCCATACATTTTACTGTATGTTGACATGTTGTTGTTTGTCTATCCATACATTTTACTGTATGTTGACATGTTGTTGTTTGTCTATCCATACATTTTACTGTATGTTGACATGTTGTTGTTTGTCTATCCATACATTTTACTGTATGTTGACATGTTGTTGTTTGTCTATCCATACATTTTACTGTATGTTGACATGTTGTTGTTTGTCTATCCATACATTTTACTGTATGTTGACATGTTGTTGTTTGTCTATCCATACATTTTACTGTATGTTGACATGTTGTTGTTTGTCTATCCATACATTTTACTGTATGTTGACATGTTGTTGTTTGTCTATCCATACATTTTACTGTATGTTGACATGTTGTTGTTTGTCTATCCATACATTTTACTGTATGTTGACATGTTGTTGTTTGTCTATCCATACATTTTACTGTATGTTGACATGTTGTTGTTTGTCTATCCATACATTTTACTGTATGTTGACATGTTGTTGTTTGTCTATCCATACATTTTACTGTATGTTGACATGTTGTTGTTTGTCTATCCATACATTTTACTGTATGTTGACATGTTGTTGTTTGTCTATCCATACATTTTACTGTATGTTGACATGTTGTTGTTTGTCTATCCATACATTTTACTGTATGTTGACATGTTGTTGTTTGTCTATCCATACATTTTACTGTATGTTGACATGTTGTTGTTTGTCTATCCATACATTTTACTGTATGTTGACATGTTGTTGTTTGTCTATCCATACATTTTACTGTATGTTGACATGTTGTTGTTTGTCTATCCATACATTTTACTGTATGTTGACATGTTGTTGTTTGTCTATCCATACATTTTACTGTATGTTGACATGTTGTTGTTTGTCTATCCATACATTTTACTGTATGTTGACATGTTGTTGTTTGTCTATCCATACATTTTACTGTATGTTGACATGTTGTTGTTTGTCTATCCATACATTTTACTGTATGTTGACATGTTGTTGTTTGTCTATCCATACATTTTACTGTATGTTGACATGTTGTTGTTTGTCTATCCATACATTTTACTGTATGTTGACATGTTGTTGTTTGTCTATCCATACATTTTACTGTATGTTGACATGTTGTTGTTTGTCTATCCATACATTTTACTGTATGTTGACATGTTGTTGTTTGTCTATCCATACATTTTACTGTATGTTGACATGTTGTTGTTTGTCTATCCATACATTTTACTGTATGTTGACATGTTGTTGTTTGTCTATCCATACATTTTACTGTATGTTGACATGTTGTTGTTTGTCTATCCATACATTTTACTGTATGTTGACATGTTGTTGTTTGTCTATCCATACATTTTACTGTATGTTGACATGTTGTTGTTTGTCTATCCATACATTTTACTGTATGTTGACATGTTGTTGTTTGTCTATCCATACATTTTACTGTATGTTGACATGTTGTTGTTTGTCTATCCATACATTTTACTGTATGTTGACATGTTGTTGTTTGTCTATCCATACATTTTACTGTATGTTGACATGTTGTTGTTTGTCTATCCATACATTTTACTGTATGTTGACATGTTGTTGTTTGTCTATCCATACATTTTACTGTATGTTGACATGTTGTTGTTTGTCTATCCATACATTTTACTGTGTGCTGACCTATTGTTGTTTGTCTATCCATACATTTTACTGTGTGTTGACATATTGTTGTTTCTTACTCAAACCGATTATGAAGGAGTTTTTATTTCAAGCTGCGATGTTCTCCCTTTTATTAGAAAGGGAAATTAAAAAAATGCAATAATGTCGACGCATATACGCATTAATTGAAAAAATAATCTTAACGAAACGTCATAAAATGTTCTGTATTGATATAAATAGAATGCAATAAATCAAGAAATGACATCAGGTGATACTACCAGACTAACATACATATAAAACATTTTACCAGGGTAACGTTCAGTGATTAGTGCTTAAGCCTAGGCGTGATAACGCTGAAGTGTGGACGGTGGTAGACAAGCTTAATATACAGGTGAGTTTGTCTGGCATGTAAAACATTGGTTTTTTTCTTACGTATTTATTTTTGATTGAACATTTCCAATATTTTCGTTAACAACCTTGGCAATATATTTCATATTTTTTTCTTCCATTATAACATAGAAATATATGTCCACGAACTGCAGAATATGATATTTATGCTGCGTAGTTACTTTGCAGTTTTTGTAGTTTCATTGAGTATATTAACTGTACAACTGACATGAGTTCAGCTGTACTTGTTCACCGCGAAATATTTCGACAACGACATAATTTGTAAAGTTAAAGTTTAAAAAGAAAGTTGTAGTGACTGTTTAATGTTATATAGTAAAGTTATTACTTGGCTCAAACAGTTGTATATCTGAAAGTGG